GGGGGGGGGGGGGGGGGGGGGGGGGGGGGGGGGGGGGGGGGGGGGGGGGGGGGGGGGGGGGGGGGTTAGGTAGTTGGGGTTTCTTTCTCTCTCTCTCTCTCTCTCAAGCGAGCACATGTGCCCATCTTTCTGGTTTCTTAGTTTTTTTGTTTTTCCCTTGGGTCCCGATTGACTACAGATCAGGTATGAAACTGATCGGTACAGATAATACACTTCATAGTGGTTTCGAGCGGGGGTCGTAGGTAGTCTCTGAAACGGTTTCACCTATGTCATGCGACAGATGCAGATCCCAGGGCTCGATCCCTAGACCTCTCCGCTACCCGTGTACAATACCGTGGCCCCTGCTGTATATAGCTTGGTCGCGTGGACTCGATCCGTGTGCTTAGATTTTAGTAGGCATAGGGTCAATCTAGGTCGTAGCTGTTACAGTTGCGGACGGTCAGTCCTATGTCTACCTAGGTCGTAAACTGTGGATGCGAGTCTAAACTGGTTCTTCGTAGGTCGTAGGAGTCGGTCCGTAGCTGAGTCAGCAAGGAGCAGTCCTAGACTACCTTCTTCCCCCGAATACAACGTACGGTCATTGTAACTGTATGTAGACTGAAAGATGCCTCAAATACAGCTATAATGACCATACGTTGTATTCGGGGGAAGAAGGTAGTCAGCAAAGGGCAGTCCCAGTCCTACCTCGTCTAGTCAGCGGTACCCCGTCCCAGTCTGACCTAGTCCAGTCAGCAAGAACCAAGTGCGACTGTGTACATCCCGGGCGCAGGCCAAGGCCAGACCACCAACGAAACAAGTATAAATGCAGAGGCAGCGCTGTCCAAGCGACTTGTGTATCGGAGGTCTGCAGGTGCCCGAGGAAGAAGAGGGCTAAGAGGAGGAAGAAGCGGCCATAACCGCGGGTTAGTAGGAGGGAGATGGCAGCCAAAGCTGCCACATAGGTTAGAGATAGGATCTGTGTGTCGTGTGTGTGTGTGTGCGTGAGGGACATTCAGGGTGATCCTAGTTTAGTGTATGCGTGTGCATGTAAACAAGTTGCTGGTGGATACAGTTGATCGGGTGGGAATCTTTGTCTGGCGCTGAGCGCCATAGCCATTCAAGACAAGTTGAATCTGAATTGTGTTCCTGGCCACATTCTCATCTCTGAGCTTTGTGTGGGCGCAGTGCGCTAATCCAAGTCGTCATCTGTTTGCATGCATGTTGAAAGCGAGATGAGCCAAGACTGATTTCATAGCTCTCTCTCTCTCTCTCTCTCTCTCTCTCTCTCTCTCTCTCTCTCTCTCTCTCTCTCTCTCTCTCTCTCTCTCTCTCTCTCCCTTTCTCTCTCCCCCTCCCTCGTGCGCACGTGCGCTTGTGTGATTTTTTTTTCTTTTTTTAAATAAAAAGGTCTCGATGGACCATAGATCAGATATGAAATCGAACGGAGCAGATGCTACGCTTGATCGTGCGGGGAGGTAGGATAGGATATGAAACTGATCGAAGCAGTTACGGCACTTGATCGTTGAGGGGGGGGTGGGGAGGAGCAAGTTGGGTTCTCCCTCTCTCTCTCTCTCTCTCTCTCTCTCTCTCTCTCTCTCTCTCTCTCTCTCTCTGTGTGTGTGTGTGTGTGTCTGTGTGTGTGTGTCTGTGTGTGTGTGTCTGTGTGTGTGTCTTACCTCTTGCGGCTGCGTGCGTCTCGCCTCTTGCGGCTGCTTCGCTTTATTTTATTTTTCCCGAAATCGTTTGTGTCTCCGGTTTCTTTTATTTCTGAAATCGCTCATGCTTACATTGTTTTGTTTTTTTCTCCATTGAACTGATCAGTGCACGAATGGATTTTGAATTTTCCGGTTTTTTTTTTCTTTCTTTCTTTTATAAAGGTCTTGATCGACCACGGATCAAATATGAAACTGACCGGAACAGATACTACACCTGATCGCAGGGGGATGGTCGAGTCTCTCTCCCTCTCTCTCTCTCTCTCTCACGTGCGCTTCTTGCACGGATGCTTTATTTTTGGACCATGGATCAGATAGCACACTTGATCGTTGGGAAGGGGGGCCCGCTGGCGCATATTTAGTTAGACTGGGGTCTCTCTCTCTTTCCATCTCGCTCTCTCTATAGTCTCTCTCCCGGGTCTTGGGCGTGCTTGTTTTTTTTTTCTTTCCCTTTCTAGCCGTCTCCATGAACCACGGAACTGACCGAAGCAGATACTGCACTTGTTCGTGTGGGGGGGAAGGGGGAAGGGGGCAACGCGCAGTTGGTTACAACGGTCTCTCTCTCTCTCTCTCTCTCGCGCGCGCGCGCGCGCGCGCGTTCGCTCCTGCACGCGTGTGCTTTTTTTTTACTTTTATAAAATAAAAAGGTCTCGATGAACCACGGATAAGATATGAAACTGAACGGAGCAGATACTACGCTTGATCATT